TCACAATGTAGGAAATATTTAAATATCAAATGTTAATATAAATACAGAAAACTAACATAACATTAAATTGCATAAAACAGGCGTAACTAAACTACACTGTAGCTAATCAAATATTTTCGAAAATAACATACAAACTGCTAACTACCATTTGCTGCCACCATTAAACAAAATTTATGGGGCAAGTGTGCCTGAGCTGAAGTCTTGTACGTGAAATACAAGGTGACATCAGTAACTGAAAATGCAACCTGTCTGACAAGATAACAAAATTATAACCTGGTGCAACTTGTACAAGTGTGCCTATTTTAAAAACAGCTTACTTAATTAACCAGTATAAACCTAACAGCCAGTGTGTAAGATGTCCAGTAGCACAAGAGGTGAGAGTGCATATATTAATAACACAAGGTATGAATTTGAGTCTTACATAGACATGTGTGGTGAATAGTCCATACAACAAACTTTACTTTCTATCTGCTTTGAACTAACATGCATTCAGAGAGGTTAAAGTTTGGACTATGTGTTACGTTCACCGTTACAAATGTGCAATCAGCAAGTAAAATACACACTTAAAGATTTTTTTTATTAATAAACATATTATTTCTATATTACTAACACATATCTTTAAGAATGTCAAAACAGACTTACCTCCTTCCCTGTCAAAGTCTGCGCCCGCCAACATAGAAAGAAGAAAACAAAGATAATTTAACATTGCAGATCACGCACATCAATTAGTGTTACTTTAAAATGCATTACACAATACCTACCTTCACTTTAATTAGCATTTCTAAATTGAAATTTCGATACTATTAGGGCAAACACTGCTAAACAGAATATAACAAACCTCACTTAACCTCTACAACCTCTACTACACAGGTAATACCAAACGCTATTACGTAGAAACATTTTCTGGGGCCGGCCAGGATATTATTGTTTGTGCTGCCATCTTTGAATTGAGGATGACTATATCTGCAGTCGACGACCGTAGCTCAATCAATAAAATTCAGGCACTTGCCTCGTATCACACCTGTATGAATAGTTATGTTATTTTACTGAGAATGTGAAGATAAACATGATAGAAGAAATATTTAAATTTCCTCGCCACTTTCAAATTGTTAATATTTTTTCTCATGTCCCAAATTAAGTCTACGTGAAGTTAGTAATGGTAATGGGCTTAGAGTAATAAATTTTTGCAACTTAAAAAATCTAATTGACAGAAGCACAACTTTACCTCTCCGTGACATTCATAAATATACTTTGACTTCTGATGGTGTTACACAAAGTCAGACAGATTATGTTTTAATTAACAAAAGACGACACTCGTATATTAGATGTCAGAGTCTTCAGAGGAGCTGACAGTAATACCGACCATTTCCTGGTAGTGGCAAAATTAAGGGAGAGTGAGTAAACTAGTAAAGCAAATTTTGATTTATAAAGATTTTATTTAAAGAAACTCAGTGATGTAGAAGTTAAAGGAAACCCGATAAAAATCTCTAAGAGATTTGCGGCTTTAGAGAACTTGGGTATTAATAGCTGACGGGAAATTTTAGGGATAATTTCAAGACCTCAGCCGAGGATAATATATGATATCACAAACTGAAACATAGCAAACCATGGTTTGATGTTGAGTGCTCAAAATTAATAGACAGACGGAAGCTGGATCAATTACAATGGTTGAAAAAACCGAAGCCAAATCAATGAAGATTATATGCAAAATTTAAGACGTGAAACCACAAATATTAGAGATTTATACAGAGGCATAAATGAATTTTCTAAAGTTTGCTAACCTAGATTTAATATTATCATAGATAAGAATTGATATCTGAGCCATTAGTGCCAGAACCTAGTCTTGTCGAAGTGCAGATTGCTATTGATAATTTGAAAAAGTGTAAATCCTTGGCCGAATTGGTCAAAGCAGGAGGCGAAACGTTGCGTTCCAAGTTACACAAACGTATTTGCTCCATATGGAATAAGGAAGAAATGCCACAGGATTGAAAGGAATCTATTATTGTACCAATTCATATGAAAGATAATAGGACTTATAGTAATAATTCTGTCCCGGGCATGACGTAACTGCGTCCACAGACCGAGTGACCATCGGTATAAGTGGTCCCTCTCTACCAAGTGCCAACAGCCTCTTCAGAGGGTGGATGAGCTGGTGGAGGTTCAGGGCACCCTCATGCCCTTGGGGTGAGAAATTACCCCTAAAGGCGAATGAACCCGGATGGGTCAACGGCATAGGATGCGGAAGGCAAGGGGAATCCACCGCATTAAAGATCCTCAGGATATCCCAAGTATCAGCAGCTCAGAAAGAGCTGCTGCCAACCAATCCTAGGATTGATTACAAAAGAAGAAGAAGTAATAATTATCGAGTAATTTCCTTCTTATCTGGGTACAAAATTTGATCCAACGTTCTTCTGGCGAGGCTGACTTGAAGTTCCAATGAAATTATTGGGGATCCTCAGTGTATTGATATGGAGGGAGAGCTTCACGGTCTGTAGTCCTCACCTGATATTGTTAGGGTGATTAATTCGAGGAAGATGAGGTGGGCGAGACATACAGCACGCATGGAAGATGGGGAGGGGTGTTTACAAGGTATTGGTTGGGAGGCCTGAATCCATGGAGCGAACTGGATGTAGCTAGCTCAGGACTGAATCTGATGGCGGGTTCTTGTGAAGACAGTGATGAACCTTTGGGTTCCATAAAGATCATGAGCTATTCTTTGACAATCCGAGTATAGAATCGACTTCTCAAAGAGTGCACTGCACCATAGAGTGAGTGAGTGATTAGACTGTAGGAAATGTAAAAATATGAGCACATCTTTTCAGCACAAAATACATTAATTGACTGTTACCTACGTATCTTCTTGTTTATAAAACAAATTAACGAAATGCTATATAAACCTTACACAAGTTTAACCGAATCACATGACCACATGTCTTCTTATATTCTATTTTTACTGCATTAAAATGTAGTATATTCTTTAATTACGCAAAGGTAACCAATGACTGTAATTCACATATGCTACTTTGTAAGACTGTTAAATAAAATGTGTTGTTTCGACCTCCTCTAGAATTCCCCTTCATTATTGACGGGTGATTCTTTAGTGTCTTATGTGATATCTACATGAAACTTCACTGGTTTCCAGGAAAACACTAATGTAATAATACTCCCAATTAGGTATACGACATCGAAAGCTCCGTCCAATCTTCCACGTTCAGCCTGTCATATACTTTGTGACTGTTCGATTATGTATCGTTACATTTCACACATCCATACAGCAGACAGTTATCAGTAAACGAAACGCAGCTTTTGAAAGCCACATCTCTCCGCCCTACTAAGCGCATTCGGACCTAAAAGTTGCATTAATGTGATAAAATGAAGTAGGACAGCCGCCTTATTTATTTTACCGTCTTTTATCACAGTGCCTACAATTTGGGCTTAAGCAAGAATTGTTGCTAAACTGTAATGGCTGTGAAAGCTCACAGATTGATGGGTAGGGGGACTAAACTTGATTCTCTGAGGCCAGTAACAAACTGTTGTCTCCCAGGAGGACGTGACACGAATAATAATAGTGTAATTACATATCAAACTAAGAACTATAGCCATAGAATACAGACCACAGTAAACTTCCGTCTCCCGTTTCAGAGGTGAAATTGACCATCGCCAATCCGCCTAGCTACTAGTATATAATTAAATAGAGTCGTATTCTGTTATACCACAGAAAACATAGTTGTTTAGTGCTGGCTATTAGTAATTTACGAGATACGATAAAAGACAAATAAATAAAACAGAGGCCTACTATACGAATAGGGAGACCCTAAAGAACTGACTTCAACATACATACCGAAAGACCAGAAATAGAATAGCAAATTTGGTTGTGGAATTTAAATTGCTGGGGTAAGCAGAAAGCGATAAAATACATCCACAGGTATTACGAACAGTCAATTATGTCTAATGATGATAACGGAAATATAAGTAATAATTTAGTTCGACTTTACTGTTAGGACACTTCACTGGTATTCATGTAAAGCGTGTAACCTGTTCACTATGATGCAGGCGTTAAATTATGTTTATTTAGAAAAGTGTACTGAAAAGTCATTGTAATTACATAAGACCAGATCAAAAGATTTCTAGAGAACTTGCTAAGGAGACTGTGGCTGTGTGCAATATCCTTAAACTGGCAAGAAACCCGAGGTTCAGTATCATTATTAGTAGAGTACTAGTAAAGAATATGATGATGTCATTGCAAACCAGGCAAAATCAACTGCTAATAAATTCTTTGGAAATGTGGCAAGTGTAAAGTACTTGACCGACCGACAGTGACGGATCCCAATTCGTATCGAAAGTAACTGCAGAGCAAATAAAAAATAGGGAGGTAAAAATAGTTTGAGAAGAAAGTGATGAACTGTATACTTCGACTTGGGGGAAAGAAAAAAATCGCTAAGAAAATATGAGCATTTTAATTTGAACTTTTCACTTGCTAAAATTGTTACGGCAATTAAATTTTATGAGAGAAATAGGACGTTCACGCAAAATTTGACTAGAACATGACAAAAGGTCATTTCGGAGATCTAAGCATAAATGTGAGGATAATATGAAAATGTAGGCAGAACATTGGACTGTATTGTCTCAGGAATGGGAAGAGTGTTGGAATATGGGATTATGGTGATGGGACGTTTTGGTTCTGAAAGGGTAAGAAATTTTTTTTATGACATTAAAGACTACAGAAGTCGTTCAAGTGTTCTATCTATGGAGTTCGTTTCATGACGATAAACGAATAAATACAAAATTATCCATACAGACGAAACATCATAACGAAGGTATTTATAAGCTCTGCTTACTCAAATGTGAAGTTCAAAGACCTTAGTTTGCATTCGTCTGATATAGAAATTTGTGCTGTTACAGCTGAAACACTGGAGGGGAAAGTCGCTGTTGGGCAGTCAGGTCATCTTTAAATTGCTTTTTGTCCTTTTCCTTCTCAGTAAAGTAACATGTATCGAACGGAACTAGGGGTTTGTACGATGGCTACGTCTCCTGACAGCGCAGCCAGGGGAAATTCTGATGCAGCAATGACTCTTCTCCCCTTTTCTACAGCTCCTTGATTCTCCGTTCTCCTCTTTCAAGTGTTTTTCCAGACGTTATACTTGCTGTTTACACGATGTTTTTTAAAACAGAAAAAGAGTTAAAAGTGGAGTGTTATGTTTGCGTTGGCTGGCTTCAGTACACCTGCTTTCTTCTTCGCAGACTCGTGGAAATTAAAAAGCTGTCAGTGGAACCACGGTTTCGGAGAATTTGACGTAAATACGTCTATACGGAAAGGAAGTTTATATATTGGCTTTATTCTAAATATTTCCTTTATACATGCTTTACAATTGAGTAAAGTTTGACTAAGACATTGCTTATTTAACTTGAATTAGTTACGCTTAAGATGGGTCTGTGGTAGATGAATGTAATGTAAAGTAAGGTAAGGTAATGTAAGGTAACTATGTAGGTAACCATTGTTGTTTATTTGTTGATAAACAGATGACGTTTCCAAGGTAACATAACAATGAAGTTACACTTTTTCGTTACATTTTTGCCGAATGACACTGACCCTAAAATATAGACGTATTTACGTCAAAACAAGCGGTTAATAGCGGATTCTTAGTCTTTTAATGACGTCGTTTTAATTGAAGTTGCACAGTGCAAATGGAATGAGGATTTCAGTCAAGATGGACTGTACTCCGGCCGAGATTCGACTCGCAGAACTTACGAACACGCAACTTGAGTGTTACTGGCGAACAGAACTGTTCCTATACCGGTGCAACACTTTATACTTTTCGTGCTACGTTATTAGCGACATTATATATACGAGGTGCGAACGGAAAGTTTCAAGACTGCGCGTATAAAAACCCGTACACTTATCTCAGGTATTAAATTCATCCAT